TTTTTTTTTTTTTTTTTTTTTTTTTTTTGGTACTGGGGATTGAATTCGGGTCCTCGTGCTTCAGCTGCATTTCTTATTAACTAGACTTGTCATCCTCATATTTAAGGATTGAGAGCTTCTTTCCCTGTCTGCCACTAGTTGGGGCACTGACACTGATGTTGAATGTTGAAACTGCTCTACTAGCAAAAAAGGAAGGGCTGTGATGGTTAAATGGGGAGTGGTGAGGACAGATAAACAGCAAGAAATTGCTAAGCAACTGCTGTTGAAGATGACAGACTAGTTGCAGGAAAATTTTCTCCATTCTCATGTGTTTCTGAAATACCAATCGAAACACAGGTTAATTGGATTTTAAAATTGGATTTAAACATGGAAATACTTTTGGCATATACAAAAACAGGAACAAATAACAGACTACATGGACCCGCCATTTATATGTTAAAGCTTTTATTTTATCGTATTTTATTTTGGTGATGGAGTTTGAACTCAGGGCCTTGCACTTGATAAGCATGGTCTCTCCCAATGAGCTATACCCCTAGCATTAAGGTTTTTTAAGTCTAATAGGTTAAGTAGCTAATTTTGAAAGTAAGCATTAGCACTTTCTGTTTTAGATCATGCTGATAGTCCAAATTTAAGTATAGCAAAGTAGTTATTTTGACTTTTATTATTAGATGATCATATCAAGAAGGAATTGGCTAGGTGTGGTGGTGCACACCTGTAACCTCAGCACTAAGGAGGCTGAAGCAGGAGAATTGCTGAGAGGCCAAGGCTGGCTGAGTTACATAGTGAGTTCAGTACCAGCCTGGAATACATAGCCAGACCTTGACTCAAAACAGCAACAACAATGAACAAATTTTTTGAAAAACCACTGGCTTCTTAGAATTAAAAAACTCACTTTATTTCTTTAAGTTTTATTTGGTTGTGTTTCTCATAATTTTTACATTGTCTTATTTTTTGTTACTATCATTCTTTTTTGTTCCTTTTTGTTCACTTCTATACCATGTACTGCTCTATGTTAGGCTAGTAGCATTACCAAAGAGCTCCAAGGGAAAGAGCTAAAGCTTACTAGCCTGCAGGACAATCTGAGTGAAGTCAGTCAAGCGAAAGAGGCTTTGGAAAAAGAACTTCAAATTCTGGTAAGTATCTGTTGGGAATCTGGATCTCAGGGTTACTTGCCCTTTCCTGTTTAATAAATTCAAATTGCACAGCTATTTCTTGTTTTCAAAATGTGGGTTAAAATTACTGGCTGATAAATACCATGAGGGCAAACTGGATCAAGCCAAATTAGTAGTAAAGGTAAGTGTTACTTTTCAAAAAAAAAAAGCCTATTCCTTTAGACATTTTGACACTCTGACGTTTTGATGTTTATGAACCACAGAGCCCTTCCCTGTAGCACACTGTACTGCAAGCTTTGCTCCCACCAACTTTGTGATGTGCAGAGCAGCACAGTCAAGCTGCAACACCTTGCAGTGCCCTCTGTTGGCCAGGCAGGGTTCTGGCCAGTTTCATTCTTAAAACCTTTTCTCAACTTTTTTCTTTCCTGAGTTTCCCCCATGCCAAAACCTGACCTCATTCAAGTGGAAGACAGGGGAAGAAGTCCTCAGTCCTTAACAGTGGTCAGGTACCCATATGTTATGAAGAGGAAAGCTCTTAGCTTATGGAAAAATAAAATGGGAGAAAGAGTAGCTGTTAAGGATCTGTTGTCTTGGCTCCTCCGTGTGCTTTCCTATTTGCCATTCAGTATACCTCTCTGCTAATCACAGAGAAGGGAATGAAAGTGTGTGATCATTTTCTTATCTAAATGCCAATATTCTAAATTTCTACTTTTTAATAGTTACCATAAAGCACTGTTCAGTGGTAGCTACTATCCGCATATGGCTGTGTAAGTTTAAATGAGCTAAAGTTGAGAAGTTGACATTCAGTTCCTCTGTTGCACTAGCTACTTTTTTTCTTTTTGGCAATACTGGGGATTGAACCTAGAACCTTTGCACTGAGCTCCTTCCCAGTGTCTCTTCACCCGCTTTTTTTACATTTTGAGAGCAGTTTCACTAAATCACTTCGGTTGCCTACTCTGGGTTCAAACGTGGCAGTCTTCCCAAGTGCTGGGAACTGGAGTGTACAGCCATACCTGGCACTAGCAACATTTAAGTGCTCATTAGCCCCATATGATGGCCAAACAGTAATAAGTAGAAAATTTTGTTGGATAGCTCTGGTATGTAATATTTTATCTACACTCTGAGAAAAAGTTGGCCTAGGAATCACCATTTTGTAATAGGTGACTGAAAAAAAGAGTTCCACATTTTTCTGCTATCCTTCCTAAACTTTCAGAAGACCATGTTTTCTCTTTTTAACTTTGAGAATCTTTGTGTGTGCTCTTTGGAGAACGCTTGCCCCTAGGGATAACCCAGGTGGGCGGTGTGGGGGTTTTGATGAACTTGTTGCTGCATGTCAGTCTTGTAATGGCCCAAGTTAGTTGGGAATCCTCTCTTGGTGTAGCTAGCTCAGAGCCCATCTCAGGACATGGGCTACTGACAAGGTCATGACAGGAGACCTTGAACAGTGGGGACCAGTGGACCTTTCCAGTTTAAAAAGTTGCTGACACAGGCCCAGATGTGAGATTTTAGATTTGAATCTAGTTAAGTTCCTCAGATTACTCTCAAAAGCAAAAGACCATCAAGAACTCTGTTTATGGCCTTGGGAGGTTTCTGAAGAGAAGGGTGCTCCTTAAGGGTAAGCGAGGACAAAGCATACGTGTGTACAGATGCACGTGTACTCACATCAGTGTGTACACACGTATACTTGCTTGCACTCACATGCATGCCTACACATGTATGTGCACACACAGGCAGTCTCCCTCGGGCATACATGCATTTGTGCACGATATACTTGGGGAACGCCTGTTTTAAGTGTGTTAGTTTTAATGAAACAAAATTGGCAACAAAAAGCAGATAACATTGTACTTAAAATTGATAGTTTATTCTTAGCATTTTTAGATCATTCTGTTCTGAATATCAGCTTCTTTTTCTTTAGAAAGAAAAGTTTACTGCTGCTTCAGAGGAGGCTGTCACTGTTCAGAGAAGTATGCAAGGTAGGTCCACCAGAAGTCTGTGCAGCTTGCCTTAAGGCATATCCTGTTCCTCCTGGAGTGGGCTGGGATGGCCACTGCTGCAGTCTAAACCTGTCCTGGAAGAAACCACAAACAGTGGTTTCTGTGGGCTTCCTGGAGCCTCAAACTCCCAATTTTTTCTTCTTTTGACTTAGGGCATATACTATATTAAAATGCAAGAATTCCTGGACAAAGTATTACTTAAATTTTTGTCATTGATAGCTTTATTTAAGAAAAAAAATTATTTTAAAGACAGGGTCTTGCTGTGTAGTTCAGGCCAGGCTTGAGCTCACCACGTAGCCCAGTGTGGCCACCACCCCTGGCTGCTTCACTAAGTTTGCGTTGGAAGGAGGAGGGATGTGTGGCAAAGGCTGACTTGGCACCTGCCTGCCGCAAAGATGTGGGGAGGCGAGAGAGCCACACCCTTGCTTCGTGGTTGTGCTCAGGGTGTGGCTCGCCATGGGGCAAGTTGTGTCCTCTTCTCAGATTCCACAGTATGTGATTTGATTGGGTTGTAAGACAGCCGAGATCTGATTGGCCTATTAAATATGAAATACATTAAACTTTTAATTTTATTCTAAATAGAAACTGTGAATAAATTACACCAAAAGGAGCAAGAGTTTGACAAGCTGTCTTCTGAATTGGAAAAGTTGAGAGAAAATTTATCGGGTAAGGAGCTATCTCTGGTGACTAAAAATTAAATACCCTAGTTTTCCTAGGATTTGTGGTATTATATTACAAAAACATATTTACTATTCATGTGTAACCTCTTCATTCATTAGATAGAATATATGAAATACTCATTTGAGATATGAGATATGTAATCTCAGCACGTCCTCTTTGATATGTTTTCAGTGTTCAAAAACCTAGCCAGGGATTTAGCTCAGTGGCACCGCCCCTGCCTGGCAAGCGCAAGGTCCTGGAGTTCCATTCCGGTACTGGGGGAGAAAAAGTCAAAAACCAAAAACCTAAAATCCATCATATCTCATCACTCCCACCGCTAGCCTTGATCCAGATAAAATCCAGCTGTCCTATGAATGACCGGAGCAGCGTACCATTTACTACCACCACTGCCCTTGCCCCTTTGCATCTTTCGGCACAGCAGCCAGAGTGATCCTTTTAACAGGAAGTCAGGTCATGTCTTTTCTCTGCCCCAGCTAGTCCAGCATCTCCCCTCTCAGTAAAAGCTTCGACCCTACCCCAGCAGGCCCTATGATGGCTGGAATTTCATCTCAGACTTCCCTTCCTCTTGCTCAGTCTCCTGTGATCAGATTGGCCTCCTTGCTGATATTGGTCATGGGTGGTCCTGCCTGGTTGTCTTGTACTTGTCTTTCCTCTCTCTGCCTTCGCTCTTAAATGTCATCATCTCAGAGGGGCCCCATCTAGAAGTTTAACCCCTTTCCTTCCCAGCTTCTTTCTTTCTCTGCTTTCATTTTTTTCTCTCTTAGCACTTATCTCTGCTATTACATTATTATTTTCTTTTTTATTTCATTTTTTTATTTTTGGTTTTTTGAGGCAGGGTCTTACTGTGTAGCTCAGAAAGCCTTGAACTCACAGTGACCCTCCTGCCTCAGCCTTGAGAATGCGGGGCTAATAGGTGTGCACCACCATGCCTGGCCATTAATCTTTTCTTTTTCCTGTTTGTTTTCGGTTGTCTTGGCTAGAATGTATGATTTTCATGAGGACAGGCATTGCTATATGCCAGCAATCCTAGAACAGGGATGCATTCTGTATATTTTCTTACTCTTAACCCAGCAATACCATTTTTTCCCTACACATACTCAGATATGGAGGCAAAATTTAGAGAGAGAGACGAAAGAGAAGAGCACTTGCTAAAGGCGAAGGAAAAATTGGAAAATGATATTGCTGAGATAATGAAGATGTCAGGAGATAATTCTTCTCAGCTGACAAAAATGAACGATGAATTGCGTCTGAAAGAGAGGTATGCCTAGAGAGACAAAAAGTGGAAGAAGAGTCTACTTTACATTCGGGTCTGCAGCAAGGTCTAGGGTGAGGGGGGACAGACAAAAGGCTGAGAGTTGTTGTGTTTTAAAATTTCCTATCCCTCTTCCATTGTGTGTGTGTGTGTGTGTGAGTGTGAGTGAGCAGACTCTGGGGCTTGCATATGCGAGGCAAGTGCTCTACCACTGAGCTACACCTCAGTCCTCTGTTCTTTTGTGTTACTACATTACTGTGTCCTTAAATCAACTGTGTAGTGTTTTGAAATGGTGTTACCTGTCTCACTTGTCAAGAATGATGGATTTGGCCGGGCTTGGTGGCATATGCCTTTAATCCCAGCACTCAGGAGGCTGAGGCAGGAGAATCGCTGTGAGTTTGAGACCTGCCTGGACTACGTAGTTCCAGGTCAGTCTCAACTACATAGTGCTGGGGTTACAGGCGTGTGCCACCATGCTCGGCTCTGCCTCTTAGTGATTTATAAAAAAAGGCAGTCATTTACCAGTGGCAGTAACACCTTTTACAAGCATTTAAATATATATATATGTGTGTGTGTGTGTGTGTGTGTATAAAAAAAAATATATATATATATATTGTTGTTGTTACTGGAGATTGAACTTGGGACCTTGCACTTGCAGGACAGGCAGCAGAACCACTGAACTAAATCTCTGGTCCTAAAGATATTATTGACTTGCTTCAGTGTGATGATAGGTTGCACCCTTTAAGGCCTTGTTGTGTGCCATGCTCTGTGCCAGCAGCTTATAATGGAGTGTATTTTCCAATTTTCATACTAATCCTATGAGGCGAGTACTATATAGCATTATCTCCATTGGCAAGGGAAAGAAACTGAGGCTTGCTGGGGCTGAGTAACTGGTCTGAGGTTTCAGATCTGAGTCATCTGATCCCAGAGCTCTTGATGCTCTTAGTATGTTATGCTTCTTTTATACTAAAACTTCTTTTATCAATATCTGTTCTTGTCTTTATTCTGAGATTCTTGTTGGGTTCAATTTTTTTTCATGGCTGTCATGAAAAATTTTGCTTTATAAGGCAAAAAATGTTAGAACACATTTTAGAGTCATTAGAATTCTGCCGGGTGTGGTGGTGCACACCTGTAATCCCAGCACTCTGGAGGCTGAGTGAGGCAGGAGGATCGCTGTGAGTTTGAGACCAGCCTGGGCTACATAGTGAGTTTCAGATCAGTCTTAACTACATAGTGAGACCCTGTCTCCAAAAAAATAAAAAAAGAAAGAAAGAAAAAAATTCAACAACACCAAAAAAGAAACTTAATTTTTGCCTTGTACTTACTGGTGGTCCAGGCTGGCCTTGAACTTGTGTTCCTCCTGCATTGGCCTCCCCAGTTTGAAACTCATTTTCTTTTATGTGTTTATTTGTCACTCATTTTTTTATTAATCTAGTAACGTAAAATAAACCTTCACAATCGCAGTATTTGTTATTCTAAGCAATGTATTTATAATCCCATTTGTTAAAATTATTCCTCAGGCAAGTTAAATTTTTTTGGTGTTGGTGTTGTTGTTTTTGTTTTGTTTGTGTTTTTGGTTCGGGGATCAAACTCAGGTCCTTGTGCTTGCAAGGCAGGCAGCAGAACCACTGAGCTAAATCCCAGCCCTTTGTTTTGTTTTTTGAGACAGGGTCTCAGTATGTACTTGAGGCTGTTATTGTTTTTATTTGCCTATTTTAGAAGTTATTGATTACTCAAATTTTATAATCAGTATAATTGTGACTTTTTAATATAATTAAATTTAAAACATTCTTATGAAAAATGTGATGCCTTGTATTGAAACATGTTGTAGATGTGTAGAAGAATTACAGTTAAAACTTACAAAAGCTAATGAAAATGCAAGTGCTCTGCAGAAAAGTATTGGGGAGATAACTTGTAAAGCTGAACAGAGCCAGCAAGAAGCCACCAAAAAGCATGAAGAAGAAAAGCAAGTATTGGAGGGAAAACTGTTGGACCTGGTAAGGAGAGGATGAATGGGAGCATCTCCTGTCAGTGAGGCGGGGCTGGTCTGCAGATGGCCAGATGACTGACTTCTTCCCTTGGGGTTTCTTCAGGAAAGGAAGATGGAAACGAGCAACAACCAGTGTCAGGATCTGAAAGCCAGGTATGAAAAAATCAGTTCCGAGACAAAAACAAAGCACGAAGAAATCCTGCAGAGCCTGCAGAAGACGCTCTTGGAGACGGAGCAGAAGCTAAAGTCTGTCCAAGAGGAGAACAGAGGCTTGATGCAGGAGATGGAAGAACTGCGAGTACAGGCTGACAGAGCCAAAGTACGTTCTGGGGAGCCGTGGGCTGTGCTGTGCTTGCTGGGGTTCGGCAGCGAGGCTTCAGGGTACTTTGGGAAGCAGCAGCAGATGGGTTGTGTTGAGTTAGCCTTGTCCAGCGCTAGCCTCTGCCTACACAACAGGGTAGTGAATTCATTTCTTGTGGCGTTAAGTGTTTTGTACCAGCTGCTCTTGGGGCCAGTGGTGGCTACAGGCCCTTCCCTGAGTGTCCTGTGTTGCTGTCACCAACCACCCCTTGTGCTGCTTGCACCCAGCTTTCTCAAAGCCTCTTATCTTGCCTGAGCTCTGTGTGCCTGCTTGTAGTAGACTCTGGTGTGGGAAAGAATCTTCCTCTAATCTTGGCTGAGCCTGTGCCATTTGTCATTAGGGTTAGGAGAGACAAGCTGCAGAACAGCCAGAGACTGCGGCCACAGCCAGCAACCCAGTGGGAGTCAGGATTGGAGGGAGCTCACGGGATGAGCAGAGCTCTTCTAGGAAGGGTTAGAAGTGAGAACACTATAAGGCTTTTCTGTCTCCAGGGAGGCTCTGTGAGCTTATTAACCAGGAAGCTGGATTCAAGGGCGGTAAGGAAGACACGTCCAACTAGTGAATGGAGTATCGTTATGTCTATTGAACGTCAGTGTATAGTGTCAGGCTTTATCTTAGTATGTTCTTTGACTAGTGACAGTGCAATTCAACTGTCCTACTACTATATAACTTTTTATTGCTCAAAGAAAAATAAATACGTGCCTTTATTTTTACTGTTTGAGAAATATTTACTTAGGAATTTAGTACAGAGAAATTATAAAGAACTTGAAACCACTCCATTGGAAATCTCCTTTAGCCAAAATGTGTTGCCTAGCATGTGTAAATCCTTGGGTTTAATTCCCAGTACCACAGAAAGCAAACCAGCCAAAATAACAACTCCCTGTTAATAAAGTGGACCATGGCATCGTATGTGTCAAATATAGCTCGATGTGGTGGCACATTCCTATAATCCCAGCACTCAGGAGGCTGAGGCAGGAGGAGCGCCGTGAGTTTGAGGCGAGCCTTGTTTACCTTAGTTCTATGCCAGCCTGGACTACATAGTAAGACCCAGTCTCAAAAATAATGACAGTGGGGCCTGGGATTTAGCTCAGTGGTGCTGCATCTGCCTTGTAAGTGCAAGGTCTTGAGTTTGATCCCCAGTACAAAAAACAAAACAAAACAAAACAAAACAAAAAAAACCAAAACCCAGCCTAACAAGTAAATAAATCCTTTCTATGAATCTTTTCTATGATGAAAATAATTGGATAATTGGAATGGCAGGGGAGAATTTTACACCCTTATGTTAAAATCAAGTTACTGGGGTTTTTTTTTGTTCACACAGTTTCTATGAAATTTATTGTAGAAAATTTTAAACTTTTAAGACTTAGGCTACATTAAGTTATTTGGGCTTGCATTTGTCTGCTTGATTTCATTTTTGTTTCCATTCTTTCCGTCTTTTGTTTCTGTAGTCGCTAACTTATTTGTTAACATCAGCCAGAAAAGAAATTGAACTAATGTCAGAAGAGCTGAGGGGTCTGAAATCAGAGAAGCAGCTTCTTGCACAGGAGGGAAATACTTTAAAGGTAGAAAAAGGTTCGCTTTTAACAAAGCTTGTAGAAGTGGAGGCCAAAATAACTTTGCTTCAGCAAGACCAGCAGAAACTGTGGTCAGTGAACAAAACTCTTAATTTAGAGAAGGAGAAAGCCTTGGAAGAGAAGAAAGCTGCTGAAAATCTTTGCCAGCAGGAACATCTTGATAAAGAAGCTTTGACTACAGAGAGAGCAAAATTGCTTCAAGAAATCAGTGTTGCTCAAGAAGAGCTCCTGAAGATACACGTGGAAAACAGGTCTTTGCAAGCTTCCACAGCAAGCCTGCAGGTGCTCGTCGACGAGCTCCAGCTCTGCAGAGATACTCTGGCAGCAGAGGCCGAGAAGGCTCTGGCAGAAAAAGGCTGTGTGCAGGATCAGGTCAAGACGCTTGCTGCCGAAAACCTCGTCTTGGTGAAAGACAAGGATGACATCATTCAGAAGCTTCAGAGCGCCTACGAGGAGCTCGTCACAGATCAGAGGGCCTTGGCCCGGGAGATTGAGGCACTCACTGCTGAGAAGGAGGCAACGGCTGAGAAGCAGTCAGGCCTGGACAGTGTGTGCCGAGCCTTAACAGCAGAACGAGAAAGCCTTCTCCAGAGCAACAGAGACTTGCAGTTGGAGAGGGACTCGCTGCGTCAGGGTCAGGAGAAGCTGAGTGCCAGTTTGGAGGCCACTCTGCAGCTTAAGCAGCTACTCAGCACAGAAGCTGGGGTGCTGCGCACACAGCTGGACTCTGCCAGCAAAGCGCTGAGGAAGGCCGAGCTGGAGACCAGGCAGCTGCAGGCCACCAACACGAGCCTCACGAAGCTCCTGGAAGAGATCAAGGCCAGCCGGGCCGTCACAGACTCAGAGTGCATTCAGCTTCTCCATGAGAAAGAGACCTGGGCTGCCTCAGAGAGGAGGCTGCTGTCTGAGAAGGAAGAACTTTTGAGTGAGAATAGGGTCATCACCGAAAAACTTAACAAGCAGTCTCAAGAGACCTCCCATATTGAGATAAGCTTGAATGAGAAGATTGTGCACCTCATGTCTGAGAAGGAGGTGGCCTGTCAGAAAATTACTCAGCTTAAAAAGCAGCAGGAGAGTCTCTTAAAGGAAAAAAAATCAGCTCTGGAAATACAAAATGGAGATTTACTTACAGAGAGAGAAAATTCCATCCAAGCCATAGGAGACCTTAAGAGGAAATATGACCAGGAAGCTGCAAGCAGAAGAATAATTGTGCATGAGAAGATGAAACTTCTTGGTGATATTGATGCTCTGAAAAAGGAGATTCAGGAGAAAGAAAAGGAAAACCCAGAGCTAGTGGCCAGTGAGTGTGACCTATCTTTGAAGCTAAAAGAGGCGCAGAATGCCAAACGGAACCTGGAAAAGGAGCACACCACTGTGATGCAAGCGAGGGAGAACTTGAACGCCGAGCTAAAGACTTGTTGCTGTGAAAAGAGCATTTTGCTGAGGGATGGCTTGAACCTGCAAGAAGAATGTCAGAAATTAAATGAGGAGGTCCATGAAGTGCAGCAGTCCTTAGTCCTAGAAAAAGAAGCCGGAGCAAAGGAAAAAGAGTCATCCTTGTATGAAAACAATAAACTCCAAGGGAGATTAGTGCTCCTGGAGCAGGAGGTAGAGGGGTTGAAAGTATGTACCAAGCAGCTCCAGTCCGAGAAGTTTGTACTAATCCAAGAAAAGACCAAATCTGAGCAAAAAGTGGTAGAGATTATTAAGGAAAAGGAACTCCTGAGTGCAGAAACGGCCCAGCTCGCTGCCAAGATAGAGACCCTGAAAAACGATTTTGCCACCTTGTCCAAGTCCAAGTCAGAACTGCAGGAGCTGCACAGCTGCCTCACCAAGATCCTGGATGACCTTCGGCTGAAGCATGAGGTGACGGTGGCTGAGAAAGCCAAGGTCATGCAAGACAGCAAGAACCTTCTGGCTGAGAAAAGAGAACTGATGCTGAGAAGGGATGAGCTCTTGAAGGAGAAAGAAAAGCTGGAAGAAAGCTACTTCATCCTCCAGAAAGAAATTAGCCAGCTGGCCAAAACCAACAGCCACATTTCAGCCAATCTTCTAGAGTCTCAAAGTGAAAACCGTACTTTGAGGAAAGACAAGAGCAAACTTACCCATAAAATTAGAGAGCTTGAGACTCTTCATTCATTCACGGTAAAGTGAGCGGTTCAAGTATCGAGCACCTGGATTACTTACTAACCCTGTGCACTAATGTTAGTGGCTTAGGTGATTTTTCTTCTTTGCATTTCCGAGAATTCATTCCATTAAGTAAGTTGCTTGTATGTCTCAGCTCTTCTCTGTAGTGAGAAAGGGCGATTCTTTATTAAATGTCTAATTACAGTAGTTTCTCTCCACTTGGAAAGCATTGCAGACTGTGAATAAAAATGATTTATTATTAGTTTATGGAGAAACTTTGTGAGAAAGCTAACTGTAGTTCTTATAAGACTTAAGAGCAATAGAACAATTGAAATATCCTATCTGCTCTTTGGCTTTTAGCTGTCTGAGTGGGTCTGTCTATTTAGGGTTGGAGGATTCCACTTAAATCTCTCTGGCCAAGAATTGGGTTAGCCTAATGCAAAATCCCCTTAAATTTCACTAGAGCAAATGAAATTGTAATCAAGTACCTGAGAGATTTTATTTTTATGATTTTTTTTTATATTTAGCAGCTAATAATTTGTCTTCATATGCATACATCTTTTTTATTCACAGTTTTGATTATATTCATTATCCAGTTTCCCTTAGACTTTTCCATTAAATATGTTTCAAGAAGCATTTCAGTTTTATGTTATAATTGCCCAAATAATTTTAATTTTTAAATTTTTGATAATTTAAATTTTTATGTGAAAAAAATCCCAGTTTAAGTGATTTCAAAGGCTTCAAATTTGAGATAGCAAAATAGTATTTCAGGGGTTGGGGATTTGGCTCAGTGGTTCTGCTGCCTGCCTTGCAAGCACAAGGGCCCAAGTTCATTCCCTAGAACCCTCCCCCCAATAGTATTTTAAACTCAAAACAGTAAATGTGATTAAGAGAAATCCAGCTACATAGGGGTATTACTCTTTATTATCACCAAACAGCGTCTCTCCAGTGTGGGTGGGGATGCTGAGAGCATACTTGGTCATGTAACTCAGAAGTGCCGTGGGAAGATGTAGGTTCAGAAGGGTCTGAAGGGATGGGAGTTGTGTAACAGCTGACTCACTGAGAAATGTCTGGTAAGGGTCTGTGATTGTGTCACACATCAGAAAACAGACCCTTCCTGTCTTGTCTGTTGGCATTAGCGCTGGGCTGGGCTGTCTCGTCTCTGTGGTCTCAGCCACACAGCCTGAGTGCTGCCTGAGCAGCATGGCCTGAGCTTGGCCTGGTGGTGTCCGGTAGGCTGTGCTCCCTCCTCACTGTGTTTTCTTGTGTTTAGGAGGCCCAGACTGCAGAAGACACCACGCAGATAATGGAACAGATGACCAAAGAGAAGACTGAAACTCTGGCCTCCTTAGAGGACACGAAGCAAACAAATGCAAAACTGCAGAATGAAGTAATTAGATTTAAATGGTTTTTTGTACAGAGAACAGCTTATCAGCGATGTCGTGGAATGTTTGATCACTAGCTCAGGATGGTGTATTTTTTTAACATGTGGCCTTTCACGGGTTTGGTCCATGTTAGAGTCAACACGTATACCAGAGCCGTATGTTAAATAAAGTGTATTACTTCGTTACTTATTTAGCAGAATCAATTTTTTTGAGACAGGGTCTCCCTATGTAGTCCAGGCTGGCCTTGAACTCACTGTGTAGACCAGGCTGGCCTTGAACTTTCAGTGGTTGTCCTGCCTCAGTCTCTCAAGTGCTGGGATTACAGGTGTGCACTGCTCCATGCAGCACAGAGTCAACTTTTAGCAATTGAGGGGGAAACCTTAACAGTGTGGCTTTCTGAGGTAACTACATAGTGATAGCACTGGCGAGAGGAGATGGTGATGGAATTCTCTTGTTTTCATGTCCTGTATTTTCCATACTTTCTTTTTTCTTTTTCCTGGTACCAGTGATTGAAGCCAGGACTTTGTGCTTGTAATTCAGGTGCTGTGCCACTGAGTTAAGTCCCTGGCCCCTCTTCCATACTTTCTTTACCTCCCTTCCGACTTGGAGCTGCTAAATTGCATTCTCCATTGACGTGGGCCTTTTCTTAGCCGAGTTCAGTGTGTCAACTTGAATTAGCCACTTCTGGAGCTGGGGCAAATTTGTGCCATCAAGATATTTTGATTCTGTCCAGAAATAGCATTTCTCCTTCTTAACTCCCCTTTGATTCTCTTGCTCACACCCTCCATCCTCATACCAAACTTTATTTCCTTGGAAAGCTGTTACCTGAATTCCCCCACACATCAATCTTCCAGAGTTAGTGTGTGAAGTCCTGTGTAACTTCAGATGCTTTGCCAAGTCACAGGTAGGTGAAGTGTTAAGGAAGGGGAGGGATGGCTGAACGGATGGAAAGCTACCATAGAGATCATCATTGAGCAAGGCCCGAGACAGAGATCTACCAAGATGTGGACATTTTGAGGTAATTGTAAGGTAAATAAAACTTCACAGAGGGTGGAGTAAACTCAAAACTGACAAGCTAGAAATATAATAGGAGTGCAGATCACAGGTAATCACAGTTAGAAGCTATAACTTTTTTTTTTTTTTTTTTTTTGT